ATGGTGGTGGCAGACAGGGGACTGTCGCGCCAGCCCCGAGGGAAGGAGGAGCGAGTGAGAACTTTGGGGTTCACGGTCTGCTCGAACCTTCAGGAAAAAAAAATCTCCAGGCACTGCAGACAGACAGCCGTGCGAGAGAGCGAGCGAGCGTCCACCCTAGGCGGAAGCTGTAAGAGGCACTGGGCGACTTGGCCAGTCCAGGAGCTTCGCCCGGCGACCCCATTGTCTGAGCGCCCCGCACCGCTCGCCGCCCACCTCCTCCCTTCCCGTCCCCCCCACCTCCCCAGCCCGGCAGGTCTCGCTTCGGTTGGGGGTGGGGAGTTGAGAACCAGTGTGACTGCCAAGGGAAGGGGGGCGAACAAAGCCAGGCTCCCGCCATTCTCCTCCGCCGGCGCCCTCTCCAGCAGCAGCAGCAGCAGCAGCAGCAGCAGCAGCAGCAGCAGCAGCAGCAGCAGCAGCCCGGTGCACCCGGACGCCGGCGCGCGCGCCCCCATGCCCCCCGCACCAGCGAACTGACGCCGGACCCCGAGGCGAGGCGGACCCCCCACTCCAGGAGCTAGGGACTGGTGCGGGTTCGTGTTGGGGGGCCTCGGGAACCAGGACCCGGGACCACCTTAAGAGCGAGCCCCGCCCCGGGACCGGAGCTCGGGTAGTGCTGATTGGTGCAAATGTAATGGCTGAAATTGATTGCTGAAATGCAAAACTTGTTGCTGCTTCTCCGGGCTCTGGGCTAGAGGCAGACAGAGAGAGAGAGAGGAGAGAGAGAGAGGGGAGCCGAGACCCTCGCGACGCCCCACGCAGAGCGGCCCCCCTCCCAAGCTCCCCGCCCCGCCAGCCTGCACAGGGGTGCGTGGACCACTCCCCCTCCCTCCAGAGCTGCCCCCGCCCCCCGATTCCGGGCTCCGCGGGCGCAGCAGGAACGCCTTCCCTGGGCTCGTCCAGCGTGGCCCCCCAACCCCGTGGTTCCGAGGGCGGGGGAACTCGCCCAGGCACCTCGGGCTTGGAGACGCAGGAAGCCGGCGCCTCCGAGCGACCCAAGCCCGCAACCTCTCCGCGCGCCCTCGCCTGCCTGCACCCGGCCAGACACCGAACGGAGCAGCAGAGAAAGGCGGCAGGCGGTGGACTTGGCCGCCGAGCGGCGCGCCCGGGCGCAGCGCACCGGCCCGGGAGGACTCGGCGAGCCGCGCCTTTCCTCCCACCCACCACTCACCTCCTCCCCGTTCCCCCTCCCCGGACCCCTGGCTTGCGCTCCAGCCTGCAGCTTTCTCGGGCTCCCGAGCCAGCCCCAGCGATGCCCAGGGCAGTCTCCAGCCTTCCTGCTCGCTGAAGAAGCAGCAGCTGCAGACGCCGCCACCGCCTGCCCGCTCACTCGCTCGCTTGCCCGGGGGCCGACAGGGACTGTGCGACAGGATCGTGCTCGGCGGAGGCTCAGGCTGCGGTGGCACGGCGGGGGGAAGGACCGCTCTGCCGGTGCCCCCAGCGCCCGTCGCGGCTGGGAAAAAGGTCTTCGTCCCCTGCCATCAGCTGCTCCCGCCACGGACTCTCGGAGGCTGCGGGCCGCGTCCTGGGGCTTCCCAGCCGGCCGGATCGGACTTGAGAAGGTGATAGCTCTGCTCTTCCAACCCCCTACCCGCCCCTTGCCCTCCACTTAACTTTTTTTTTTTTTTTTTTTTTTTTTGGTCCTCGTTCGCCTCGCGGCTCCGTCTAACCTTTACTGCTGCAAACCACTCGCGGCTGTGTGTGCCACCCGCCCCGGGCATGGGCCCCCCTACACGGGTCCTGGAGGCTCCGCGGCCTCGCAGGATGTGAGAGGCCCAACCCCCGGGGCAGAGCCAGAGCTTTGGGAGAGAAGCGGATCGCACACCGCCCCCCTCCACCCCCGCCCCCGGCCTCGGCACGACGGGCGGGCTGGTGGTGCGCGCTGTGTGCGCCCCCGCGGAGCTGAGCGTCCCGGAGCGCCCAGTCCCGGGCTGGAACGAGTAGCTGGCCGGAGGTGCGCGGCGGAGAGCAGGCTGTCATGCCCTATTGATCGGTCCTTGCCGCCCCCCTCCCGCACCCCCCGCCAAGTATGTTTGGGCTGGACCAATTCGAGCCCCAGATCAACAGCAGGAACCCGGGCCAGGGCGAGAGGAACTTTAACGAGAGCGGACTGAGTATGAACGCCCACTTTAAAGCCCCGGCTTTCCACACAGGAGGGGCCCCCGGTCCCGTGGACCCTGCCCTGAGCGCGCTGGGCGAGCCTCCGATCCTGGGTATGAGCATGGAACCCTACGGCTTCCACGCACGCGGCCACTCGGAGCTGCACGCAGGGGCGCTGCAGGCGCAGCCCGTGCACGGCTTCTTCAGCGGTCAGCAGCCTCACCACGGCCATCCGGGCGGCCACCACCCGCACCAGCATCACCCCCACTTTGGGGGCAACTTCGGGGGTCCAGACCCGGGCGCCTCGTGCCTGCACGGGGGTCGCCTGCTGGGTTACGGTGGAGGAGGCGGCGGCGGCGGTGGCGGCGCAGCCGGTGGCCTGGGCAGCCAGCCTCCCTTCACCGAGGGTTACGAGCACATGGCGGAGAGCCAGGGCCCGGAGAGTTTCGGCCCGCAACGGCCGGGAAACCTCCCGGACTTCCACAGTTCGGGTGCCTCGGGCCACGCCGTGCCTGCCCCCTGCCTGCCCCTGGACCAGAGTCCTAACCGGGCCGCCTCCTTCCATGGCTTGCCCGCCTCCAGCGGCTCCGAATCTCACAGCCTGGAGGCCCGAAGGGTGACGAACCAAGGAGCCGTGGACTCGCTGGAATACAATTACCCGGGCGAGGCGCCCTCGGGACATTTTGACATGTTCTCGCCCACGGACTCCGAGGCCCAACTGCCTCATTATGCAGCGGGCCGTCAGCTTCCCGGGGGTGCTTTCCCGGGCGCTTCGGCAATGCCCAGGGCCGCGGGTTTGGTGGGCTTGTCTAAAATGCACGCCCAGCCTCCGCCCCCGCCGCCGCCGCAGCAGCCCCCGCAGCAAACTCCGCAGCAGCAGCAACCGCCGCCACCACCGCACGGGGTGTTCTTCGAGAGGTTCAGCGGGCCCCGCAAGATGCCTGCAGGGCTAGAGCCCGGAGTGGCTTCCAGGCACCCGTTGATGCAGCCTCCGCAGCAGGGCCAGCCACCCCCGCAGTCGCAGCCCCCGCCTCAGCAGCAGCAGCCGCCGCCGCCGCCTCCGGGGCTACTGCTCCGGCAAAACTCGTGCCCGCCTGCGCTCCCGCGGCCCCAGCAGGGAGAAGCGAGCACGCCCAGCGGCGGCCTGCAGGACGGGGGCCCCATGCTGCCGAGCCAGCACGCCCAGTTCGAGTACCCCATCCACCGGCTGGAGAACCGGAGCATGCACCCTTACTCGGAGCCCCTCTTCAACCCACAGCACCCCGCGCCTCAGCAAGGGCCCAACCAGCGGCTGCAGCATTTCGATGCGCCCCCTTACATGAACGTGGCCAAAAGGCCGCGCTTCGACTTCCCGGGTAGCGCGGGGGTGGACCGTTGCGCTTCGTGGAACGGGAGCGTGCACAACGGTGGAGCCCTGGACAATCACCTCTCGCCCTCAGCCTACCCGGGCCTGCCTGGCGAGTTCACACCGCCCGTGCCCGACAGCTTCCCCTCTGGGCCTCCCTTGCAGCACCCAGCCCCGGACCACCAATCCCTGCAGCAGCAGCAGCAACAGCAGCAGCAACAGCAGCAGCAGCAACAGCAGCAGCGCCAAAACGCGGCCCTCATGATCAAACAGATGGCGTCGCGGAACCAACAGCAGCAGCGGCTTCGCCAGCCCAGCTTGGCCCAGCTAGGCCACCCCGGCGACGTGGGCCAGGGCGGCCTGGTGCACGGAGGCCCGGTGGGCGGCTTGGCACAGCCGAACTTTGAGCGCGATGGCAGCAGCGCGGGCGCGGGGCGCCTGGGCCCCTTCGAGCAGCAGGCGCCGCACTTGGCGCAAGAGAGCGCGTGGTTTCCAGGTCCGCACCCACCGCCCGGAGACCTGCTACCGCGCAGGATGGGCGGCTCAGGGCTGCCGGGCGACTGCGGCCCGCACGACCCTAGCCTGGCGCCTCCTCCCCCGCCTCCTGGGGGCTCGGGGGTGCTATTCCGAGGTCCCCTGCAGGAACCGCTGAGGCTGCCCGGGGAAGGCCACGTGTCCGCGCTGTCGTCGCCCGGCCTGCAGTTCGGGGGTAGCCTGGCTGGTCTGGGCCAGTTGCAATCGCCCGGGGCCGGGGTGGGACTGCCCGGAGCTCCCGCGGAGCGTCGACCCCCGCCGCCGCCGCCACCACCACCGGATTTCGCGGCGCCGGCGCTCGGGGGTCAGCCGGGTTTTCCGTTCGGCGCAGCGAGCCGGCAGGCCACCCCGCACAGCGGCCCAGGCGTGAACTCGCCCCCGAGCGCGGGCGGCAGCGGTGGTGGCAGCGGCGGGGGCTCGGGCGGGGGCGGCGGCGGTGGCTCGGGCGGGGGCGCTTACCCGCCGCAGCCCGACTTCCAGCCCAGCCAGCGCGCCTCGGCCAGCAAGCTAGGCGCGCTCTCGCTGGGTTCTTTCAACAAGCCCAGCTCCAAGGACAACCTGTTCGGCCAGAGCTGCCTGGCCGCGCTGTCCACTGCCTGCCAGAACATGATTGCCAGCCTCGGGGCGCCCAATCTGAACGTGACCTTCAACAAAAAGAACCCACCCGAGGGCAAGAGGAAGTTGAGCCAGAACGACCCCGATGGCTCGGCCGCGGCGGCCGTGGCTGGCCACCCGGGCTCGGATTACTTCCCCGGAGGGACTGCGTCCGGGGCCCCAGGTTCCGGAGTAGGAGGTGGCGGTCCGCCCGGGACCAGCAGCAGCGGCTCCAAGACGTCGGGGCCGTCTAACCCTCCCGCCCAGGGGGACGGCACCAGCTTATCCCCCAACTACACCTTGGAGGCCACGTCGGGGAACGACAGCAAGTCGGTCCCCGGGGGCGGCGGCCGGGGCCGGGGGCGCAGAAAAAGGGACAGTGGCCATGTGAGCCCTGGGACCTTCTTCGACAAGTACGCGGCGGCGGCTGCTGCGGCGGCGGCTCCGGACAGCGGGGGCGCGCCTGGGGTGAGCCCGGGGCAGCCGCAACCTTCGGGAGCCGGCGGCGCCAGTGGCAGTGGTGGTGGTCAGGTGGGCTCCGCCAGCGAGGCGCGCGGGGCCCCTACACCCCACGAGAAGGCTCTGACGTCGCCCACGTGGGCTAAGGGGGCCGACCTGCTGCTGGGGGACCAGCCGGACCTCATGGCATCCCTGGACGGCGGTGCCAAGACGGACGGGAGCTCGCCGCACGTGGGGGAGTTCGCCTCCGACGAGGTGAGCACCAGCTACGCCAATGAGGACGAGGTGTCGTCCAGTTCCGACAACCCCCCGGCCTTGGCTAGAGCCAGCAGGAGCCCGCTGGTGACCGGCTCGCCAAAACTGCCTCCCCGAGGGGTGGGCGTGGGCGCCGGTGAACACGGACCCAAGGCGCCTCCGCCTCCGCTCGGCCTGGGTATCCTGTCTACCTCTGCCTCCACCCCTGACAGCTACGGCGGGGGCGGGGGCGCCGGCCATCCGGGCACGCCGGGCCTGGAGCAGGTCCGGACCCCGACCAGCAGCAGCGGTGGTGGTGGCGGTGGCAGCGGCGGCAGCGCCCCTCCGCCCCCCGACGAGATCCACCCGCTGGAAATCCTTCAGGCCCAGATCCAGCTACAGAGACAGCAGTTCAGCATCTCCGAGGACCAGCCCCTGGGGCTTAAGGGCGGCAAGAAGGGCGAATGCGCCGTCGGGGCGGCCGGCGCACAGAACGGAGATGCCGAGCTGGGCAGCTGCTGTTCCGAAGCTGTCAAGAGCGCCATGAGTACGATCGACTTAGACACCCTGATGGCCGAGCACAGCGCCGCCTGGTACATGCCCGCAGACAAGGCCCTGGTGGACGGTGCGGACGACGACAAGACGCTGGCACCCTGGGAGAAGGCCAAGCCCCAGAATCCCAACAATAAAGAAGGTACCCGCGCGTGCGCTCTTGTCCCCTGCTCCATACCCACTGCTGGCCCTTGACCCTTGGCTCACTTGGGACCTCTGCTGGAGGCTGGCCGACCCTGCTCAGAGCCTTCCCCCCTCTCCCTTACTTTGGTCCCACCCAGCGCTGGGGGGTGGGAGCGCACTCGTGCATGCCTTGTCTACCTGGCCCAGGTGCTGCCGTTCAGCAGACTAACCCCACGGGGTTCCCTTTGGGAAACTCCAGGCCAGTCCTTGCTCCCTGTCCTAGTGTTCTTGAGTTGCTGGTGTGTGTGTGGGGGGGGTACCCAGTGTCTTGGGGGTAAGCACCCCCCTTGTATCCCAGCGTCCTTGCAGCTTCCTCTACTCTTTTAGGAGTTGGGTGCCCCCCTCCCCCTTTCCCAGGAAGTTGTGTTAACACCTGCTGTAACCTTTCCCCCAGTTAGTGCCGACTTTGGTGGTGGTGGTGGAGGTGGAAGTTAGCACCCTAGCATCCTTCAGAGGGAGCTTCTGACATCTGCTCCTTAATGAAGAGCTGTTTGTCTTCTTAACTTTTAGAATTTAGTGGGGGGCACTAGGGAGCTGTCTGCTTGTGAGAGGTAGGTAACCTTTC